CAAGGAAACACAATCATCTGCAAATTCCCCTCCAAGTCACACGTAATCCTGACTATGAACTATAATGCTGTTCTGTCATTGTCACTGGGTCAACATCCTGGAACTCTCTTCCTTACAGCACTTGGGAGAATGTACAGCTCAAGGACTGCAGCAGTTGAAGAAAGCAGCTCATCACCACTTCTTCCAGGCCAATTAGAGCTGGGCAATAAATGTTGACCTAGCCAGCAATACACACATCCCATGAACAAATATGTTATGGTTACTATTGCCAAAATGTTCCTTGGCCTTTCCTTCTGTACTCTGCTTTGGTCCATCCCCCATAAATGGATCCAGTGGCAAGTCTTCCTTTCTAATTTTAGACAGATTAGGTTAGAAAGAAGTCCTAGACCTCTTATCAGAATTTGATTGCCCTTTCTCTTAAGCTATCTCATCTGTCCAATTAATATCAAGGATTTGAAATTTCCCAGGATTATTATTCTATGATTTGTTATTCTGATCTCTAATTATTCTGCATATATTTTTCCCTTTCTCTATTGGATTATCTGTAGATCACACCTGTTAATGTGATAGATTCTTTATCCATAACAATTATACTGTTGATTTGCTATTAGCTGTGCCATTTTTCATTCTGCCATTATGTAACCCCAAATAAATTCACCTATTTCACCCCCCCTCTCCATCAGTTCTACATAGGTTACACTCCGCAATGTTTACGTCTGAAACCTGATTTTGCAGTAGCTGTCCCTCAGTAATCCCTAATATTTCTGCTTCCTCCCAATTCATGATTGTAATCAGTTCCCCTGTTTTACTTTGTACACTGTGAACTGCTGGACAGATACTTTATTTCATTCTGAGAACTGAGCATATATTGAGGAAAATTATGGATTGCAATATTCTTTGTTAATATCGTACCGCAATGCATTTCTCAAATGCTGTGATCCTATCATGGGCTACCTCCTCGCGGATAGCCACATACATATATGGAACGTAGCTGAGGAAATAAATGATTCCACCGCAGGCTGAGGCTAGCTTTGCCTTGGAGTAGACCACAGAGATCAGGAAACTGTAAGAGATGAAGGAAGAAATCAGTGCCATGGAAGTTACAGAACCAGTTTTCCATTTTATCCGAGAAACATTAGTTTAACTTGCTCCAGTACGTCTCTAAGAAACTGTGTAGTATATGTAATAAGTAAATGTCATGTCTATTGTGATATTACTAAGTGATATCAACTTGTGTGGCACAGTCTGTGGCATAGTGAAAGTGCCACTGGACTAGCCATCCAGATGCCCAGTCTAAATCTTTGGAGACACTGGTTCAAATCCCTCTAGCAACTGGTGGAATTTAAATTCTGGAATACAAAGCTAGTCTCTAATTGTGGTTAACATCTCTTCTGGTTCATTGATACCCATTTAGGGAAGGAAATCTGCCAACCTCATCTGGTCCAGTCTACACACCTCCACATCCACAGCAATGTAGTTGACTCTTACCTGCCTTCTGAAATAGCCGAGCAAGCCAATCAATTTTGGGGCGATTAGGGCAACAAATGCTGCCTTGTCTCTGGTAGAGGAAATCAAGATCAACACGAAATAATCGTAAAATTGGAGCTAAGGCATTCAGAAGGGAAATCAGGGAACATTCTTCACATTTCATACAGGATAGTGGATATTTGGAATTCACTCTCTTTATAGCTTTTGCTGCTGGGTCAATCAGAACTTTCATCACTAAGATAAATGCACCTTTCAGCTGCAATGCTATCAAGGATGGAGTAAAGGTGTGAAAGTGGTGTGGAGGTGCAGATCAGCCATGATTAAGCTGAGTGGAGGAGCAGGTTCACAGGGCTGAATGATCTGTTACTGTTCTGGTGACTGATGGAAATGTTTGGTAATTGGGTTAACGTCATTAGCTGAAGACAGGTACTACTCCTGGCTCTGAACCAGGAGCTCCAGGTAAAAGTGTCACTCTGGGACTTGTCAGCCACATGAGGCACATTCACAATGTGGCCAAGCAGGTTGATAATCAATATGTTAACCCTTTCAATACACCCATGACAAACAGTAAGAGCAGGAATGAATCTGGCTACTACCGATAATACACCTTGGCAGTGAATCACTGATTGAGCATTGTCAAAGAGAGGTAGTTAGTTAACGACAAAGGATAGACCATAATGTCAAACACCAGGCATTCTTTTTCATCATAAAATTTACGCCACACAGTACATTTATTAAAATTCCCATCAATGTGAGATGTTTACAATGGATAAAAGGGTGATTCAGAGCAGACAGGCAAGTGCTGAAACTTGCAATTTTGAACGACACATGCCAATTCTTAATTCCTGAGTCAACTTTAACTCTGCTTTAATGCACTCACCAGAACATGATGGTAGCGATGCCATAGATTGTAAGGAACAGCCAGATTATAAAGGGATCGCTGTGCATCAGGACCTTTCCGTATTTCAGGATGCCTGTCAGTGCTGTCACAGAGATGGAGAGCTGCACAAAGCCGGTAATGAACCAGGCCACCCAGTGGACAGCATTGTTCAACCCCATCATCTTCATGACCTGGAGGAGGAGACGATCAGATTGTTCACACATACCTATCTGGAGGCAGAATCTTCAATACTGACCAGCTCCATACCAGGACCAAGACTTAGGTGTCATAGTTTCTTGGTGAAGCAGTCTTGGCCCATACATTGGTCACATACGGCCAACTGAAAACCTGGATTTGGTTAATTCTATCTTTGTGGAGTAAATTGAAACAAACTAATAAACCTCACCATTATCCAGGTGGCCATACCACACTGATATTCACACACTGATCACTGTGCACTTTTGTTTTGGTGAATTGGTTAGACAAATAGTTGGGTGTTTGAGCGTTTTTAATTTATTGCGAATGCCTTACCTCCCTCTGCTCCCACTGGAAGCAGATTTCCAGTCAAGTAAATATATACAAAAGTTGCGTGTATACCTGTTATTAAGTACGTGCATGGAAGGTTCCTCTAAAAACATTATGTGCTTGTGGCAAAAATGGTGGTTGCTATAGCCCTATTAATACTGAATTTACAATGTCAATGGACCAATAGTGCAAGAAGTTTTTTGGGTGATTTACAAACGCATCTTCGCAAAATGACTATTTGTATCTCATTCTTTAACAAATTGTGAAACACATCTCTTTTTACGGTTGGTTTAGAAACAGAGTAAAAACTATTATTTAATATTTAGGTGGTTAAGCTAGATAACCGAATCAGGAACTGCATCAACTGATCCATGGTCTGTTCTAAATGACCATCATTGACCTCTGGAGGATATTGAACCTTCTATCTGTCCATCAAATAATCATGTCAATCCTTTGTGCAGATGCAGGTTAGCGTTGTCGATGTGCAGGGTAGGTGGATTAGCGATGGAAAATGCAAGATTAAAGGGATAGGCAGAGGTGTGCATCTGGGTGGGATGCTCTTCAGAAGGTCAATGTGGACTCAATTGGCCAAATGGCCTGCTTCCACACTATAGAGATTCTATGATTTGATGAGCTTCATACGAGTAACACCTGGCTAACAGAGTATAACACAATTGAATGAAAATCACTGGAAACAAACAACTGATCAATTGCAGAAAGAGAAAGACGGATTAAATGATCCATGTTCTGATGGCCGGCAGGCCTCCAAAACTTGTCTTTTCACTTTCCCTGTGCATTTCTAGTAATTTTCTGCATTTATTCAGATGTCCAACATCTGTGTTATAGTTCCAGAGGGATTTGGTTTGCACTGAAGGAAAGCTATCTTCTATTTCAAAACCCAATTCGTCAACTAGGCAGAGCATGACAGCAAATCACTATCTATGAATTCTACTATAAAGAAAAAACATAATATATTTAAAAAATGTGCAGCCACCGGAGAGATAGAGACTATGAGCTAAATGATGTCCTTGGGAGCTGTATCATTCTGTGATGTGATCTTAACTACTTGGAACACAAATGAAGGAGTAGATCGCAAGTCAATATGTGACAGAGTTTTCTGCGACAGGAGAACAACATAAAGAGAAACAAAACAACTACCGATTTCCATCTGAATAGGTCACCTTCTGAGTGCAGTACAGCATAGAACAAAGAAACGTTACATATCTAAATTAATTCCCATTCTTCGCTGAAACAGTGAAGACAGAGAGGACAAGAAATATAAACCAAACCAGTGTTTTCCTATTTCTTGAGGCAGAGTATGGTCAAGATAGTGTATTTTCCCAATATTATTTCAATTTATATCTTGGCATTTGTTGAGTCAATTTATTCTGCCAAATTAGAATGCTAATATTTGAATGCGATGATTATACAAATATTTTAAAAGTATGACAAAATTTTAATGAAATTTTTGAATGATCCTTTAAGCAGGCAAGGCAACAGAATGCAATGCACAATTCTCATGACGTTACATGATTTTCCCCATTTCCCATAGATGCATATAGAAATATTGCAATTTACTTTCTGAATACAAAATACTGGCATATCTCTTAACGTAAGAGGTCAATATTACAATGCAGATGGCATTGGGGCTGTGGTCCAAATCTTGACCATGACAAAGAGTCTCCCCAGCACAGTGACACTGGCCACAAGTCATACAGGGGATAGAAAAGGGGAGTGCAGCAGGTTTCGTACATGCATACTTTACAGATACAGCTGGCCATTTACATTATCAGCTGCCATCCCTCAAGTAAGATTTTGGTAACTGTGGACTGTGAAATACGAAGTACGCAAATTAGAGCATATCTGACTTTGTCGTTTCTTTTGGATAGCCAGGGTAACACTTTTGGAGAGATAAGCATCATTCAAATCTAGTTCCAGGACACCTCAGGATAGGTATGATAATCTCTGGAAAAGGTAAATAGCTCTTTGGAATTGTTAGAAGTGGACACAAATATGTGTGAAAAGTGCGTAAATATATTCCTGTCAAACTCACTCAAACGGTCAACAGACCTATCAATATCAATTGACAAAACAGCCAGAAGCACTCATCAAAGTGAGCAATTCAGGCTTTTCAAAGGCCTGCCCTTTAAACAGTTGAAAGATCTTTTAAATTGCTGCAGTATTAAAAATAATGACTGCTGTTTCAAACTGTCTGTTGACATAAACCATTTCCATCATCGGATTAGTGCTGCATGTCTAATTTCAGAAATATTCATTGTGATAGTGAAGTGCTTACAATTTAACAGATTGATCGACAGCTATTAGTGGTCATACACTCTGTTGTGGGATTATAAGTTCCAAAGTTTCTTTGTACAAAGGACAGTGCATTTGAATAAAATTTTGGATCTGATAGGTCTTATGCAGTTGAAGGAATATAAATGCAACAATTGGGACTTTATGAATGAGAGTATTTGTTTCAAAACAGTGAAGTCTGTAACAGACACTCTGAATTTCATCTCATAGAACTGGCTTTTAGCCCCATCACTTCATCTCTGCTCCTGAGGTCTGCCATGGTGCATACTAGATAAGTTGGTACGATGGGTGTAAGGACAAAGGGTGATGAATGGGGCAGCAGGGGTTAGCACTAAGTTGGCATGGGGTTTGGGGTATAAGTTGACATGGAGGGTTCGAAGTCCCATAGGCAGTGGGCAAGGAGTGGAGGTTGGTCCAGAGGGAATGATCAGCTAAGAGGGGCACAAGGTGGCATGTTGAGGCAGGGGAATGGTATCTGCGGAGGGTGAAAGTTGGGTGAATGCTTCATGTTTAATCCTCTATGTTAAATTTTGGATACAGTACCAGATCCTTTAGGTAGGCCTTCTGGCCAACCTACTTCCGCAGCTGGTAAACTTCTCAGTTCTTCTGGGGTCACCACCCTGATTTCTAATGTGGCCCGCTAACCCCTTTGGTGTGCTTTGTCTTCCTGCACCAACTGTAATTACCCCCATGCCCCAACTCCATCACAACCAAAAACGGTATCCATTGCCCCTGATCAACAAGCTGACATCTGGATAGCTATTTATAGTGTCAGGAATCCTTCCAACTCTGAGGGTCCAGTCCAGGAGGGAAAATCTGGGCCCACTTTTACTTTACTTTGATATTAGTTTCACATTCAGTGGCTCCCTGAGATTAGGAGCTGTAATGAGACTCTTATAAACTGGTGCCTTCAGTTGGTAATGAGTTACAAGTTATTCTGTGCAATTGAGAAGTTTGAAATAGAGAAAGCAATTTTAAATAATTGTTTCTAATATGCATGATATTTTAATGCCATTGTTTAAATTTGCAGGAGTCCTCATCCAAGTAAAATATAATGGTATTTACATCGTACTCACTACAATTCACTATTGTAACTCTGATAAATATTGCATATTCTAACCTGATGATTCACTTCTAAATATATAACATATCAGTCTGTGGCACAATTTCTGCAAATTTCTCAACTGGAGAAAATCTCTCTCTTCGCAGTTACTTCACATTTCCATTCCAACCCAATTTTACATTGTCAAATACAATGACCCAAGTATTTGTTGACTGTCCAATTTCTAGCTTTAGTAGTGACTGTTCTGAGAATTAATGCACAAGTCTGATAGTTGCCATTCTGTAATTGATTTTATGTTTTTAGAAAAGAAAATAAACTACTAGTTCTCTCTTTGCTCATGCGACAATACTATGACTTTAAGAGGGGTATTTTGTCCTGATTTTTTTAAAAGAGAGGTTTTAAGACAGAGATTTCAAGCTGTCTATTTGAATCCAATATAGTAAACAGTTTGTGAGGCCTTGGGGTTTTTTTTTTAAGTTGGAAAAAAAAAGTAGCAGTAACTTTGCGGCACAGTGGTTAGCACTGCTGCCTCACAGCACCAGGGACCCAGGTTCGATTCCACCCTTGGGCGACTGTCTGTGTGGAGTTTGCACATTCTCCCTGTGTTTGCGTGGGTTTCCTCTGGGTGCTCCGGTTTCCTCCCACAGTCTTAAGATGTGCAGGCTAGGTGGCTTGGCCATGCTAAATTGCCCATACTGTTCAGGGATGTGTAGATTAGGTGGGTTATAAGGGGATGGATCTGGGTGGGATGCCCTGAGGGTCAGTATGGACTTGTTGGACTGAAGGGCCTGTTTCCACTCTGCAGGGATTCTATGAACTGTGTCTGTGCTTTCATTTCCATTGTGCCCAAGTTACTCTTTCTTTTTATCTGCTTCTGATTGTTTTCGTGCATCTGGATTGTACTACGTATCTCAGACAAACTTTTCGTGAGTTCTTCCCCTTGGGTATGGAAGTTTCTTCCATTTTCTCTGTCTCTCAGTTTCTGCTCTCGCACTGACTGTATGTCTCTCACAGGTACGTGTATTGATTTACTCCAATTCAGAGCCTTAACTCTCTTCTGCAGTCATAGACGGACACTGACATGATAGCGGTAACTAGGACAGATGAAGCAGACCCCATTGTCAGAGCAGGATTAGTTATTCCAGCTGAGGGGTTATGATTGACAACATTTCCCCTTCTGTTGTGGGGGTGCACAGTCACGCTACAACCTAGAACATAGAGAACAAACAGGCCAGACCCAGCCCATATCCTCTCCAACGCTTCCAAATAGCAATCCTAAAACTAGCAGAGTGTGCACCTGAATGCAGTTAGATCATAGAAATAAAACTCTGCAAATAATTGGACTTAAAATGATTTAGGTCTAATAGTTTTAGGCCATTCGTATTGAATAAAAGTAAAACTATTATCACACATATTCCAACAATTAGCTATGGCTTGAAGACAAATTAAAGTAGATACCATTTAAAATGCATCTTGAAGGTCCTTTGTGAAATATGATTATCAATCAAATATTAAATAGATTTAGAATCAACATAAACTTTACGAACAAAGGCCAATTCAACCTTTCAAAAGCTCATTGAAGTCACATGTATTGATACGTGACATGTGTCAAACAGCTGAGCACTCCTTGAGCTCAGAAATTATTGGAGAAAGGATAATTAGGGAGAGAATGCCTGAATTCAATTGTCACGTGTACCTCAGTATCAGTTTGTTTACCCTCACACTAGGTTATGATCCTTTCCCTGAATCCTAACAATGTTTTCCCTATGGAACTGTGTAGAAGTCTAAATCCCTCATGAGATTCCTGCCTTCAGTCTCAAAAATCAAATCTGCATCTGGTACCTGGTGGATTGTCAATTAAATATGAACCCTGACCGCACATAAATATGAACCGTGACCGCACATAAATATGTTGGTATCCTGATCACAGACCCCTTCCATTCCATTCTGACAATGCCATCGTCATTAAATTGTCAGAAGTTCTAGTTAAACCAATAAATGCTATATTTCTTTCTGTTGTGGAAATGGTCCAGCATTGCACTCACCTTGTTGATGATGACAGCTGGAGACTTAAATAGCCAACAGCAACTATCCATGTGCTGGTAACCCAACTGGCATTTTATTGAGTGCTCAATCCTCAATCAGTCAAGGTAAGTTTTCAGGGTAGCAGCAACTCAAGCAACATCACATGGGCTGCACAGTGAGTTAATCACCACTGTGCCACATTGTAAAGACATAGTGTTTTAAACTGTAAATGTTTTTCATAAAAAGGCAGTTTGACCTTATGAAAAGATTTTGCTGAATGCACCATCAAACTTTACCTCCTTTAGTCTGTGCTCCTTCTCTGCGACAATGTGCTGAATCATCATGGCCACTGAGTACACCCACGATATCACCATGCAGAGCGGCATCATGTGCTCAATTACAAACAGAAAGCTGGACAAAAAAGGCAGGGAAGATAATTTTGGTAATTTTTTTTATGAATAGTGATTTATTTACATTGACAAGTACAGTATAGGTCAATCTTCAACTAATCATTTGCTCGCTTGTACCTACTGATATAGAAGCAATGAGAGACAACCTAACATGTGATATGAACATGGAATGCTGCAAGAAGTTATTTTTCAAAATAGCCCTTTTGGTCCAAACTACCAGAAAGTTAGAGAGGGCAAGTATAATTCTTGGCAAGCATCTCATTTCTAAGAATTGGTCAAATTATTTAGGTTGCTGTGCCAATGAGAGTTAGGCAGGGAAAAGTCAAACAGACCAGTCACTGGGAATCAGGGTGCAGCTTGTGGTTTTGGTCAAAATCACAAAAAACTCCTATGGCAGAAGTGAAACTCTCCTGGAAAGGGGACTGTTCTCTTTGGTAGAAAAGATGATGGGAAGAAGGACCGAGTTGCTTTGTGGAAAAGGCAGTTTTACCACAACTACCTAATGAGTACTTTGGATCGGTATTTACCAAGGGGAAGGGCATGGATGATACCAAGTGTAGAATGGAGTATGTTGATATTCTGGGGCATATTGAAATTAAGAAGGTGGTGGTGCTGGGTGTCTTATACATCACTGAGATCGATAATTCCGCAGGGCCTGATGGGATTCATCCCAGGATATTGAGGGAGGCAAAGAAGGAGATTGCTGGGGCCTTGACAGAGATCTTTATATCCTCTTTAGCCACAGGCGGTGTCCCAAAAAGCTGCTGAATAATCATCGTTGTTCCTTTGTTTAAGAAGGGCAACAGGGTTAATTGAGGAATGTATAAGCTAGTGCGCCTTACGTCGGTGATAGGGAAATTATTGGAGAAGATTCTTAGGGACAGGATTTACTTGCATTTGGAGAAGAGTGATTTTATTAGGGATAGTATGCATATCTTTATACGGGGAGGTCTTACCTCACAAACTTGGTTGAGTTTTTTGAGGAAGTGACGAAGTTGATTGACGAGGGTAGGGCAGTGGATGTTGTCTGCATGGACTTTAAAGCATTTGACAAGGTCCCTCATGGTAGGCTGGTCCAGAAGATTATGTTGCATGGAATGCATGATGAGTTAGCAAGTTGGATACAAAACTGGCTTGGTGACAGAGACAGAGGATAGTTGTGAAGGGATGTTGTTCTGACTGGAGGTCTGTGACCAATGGTGTTCTGCAAGGATCAGTGCGGTTTGTAATATATATAAATAATTTGGATGAAAAAATGTAGGTGATCTGATTTGTAAGTTGGTAGATGACATGCAAATTGGTAGAATTGTAGATAGTGAGAAAGGTCATCAAAGGATACTGCTGGATATAGATCAGTTGGAAAGTTGGGTGGAGAAATGGCAGATGGAGTTTATCTGGGCATGTGAGTGGTGATGCATTTTGGGAGGTCAAATGCAAGAGGAAAGCAGACAGTAAACAGTAGGACCCTGAGCAGCATTGATATATGGAAAGATTTTGGGGTGCAGTCCATAATTCCTTGAAAGTGGCAACAGAAGTAAATAAGTTGGTAAAGGAAGCATATGGCATGTTTGCCTGCATTGGTTAGGGCACTGCATTAAAAGTTGGCAAACCATGTTGCGGTTGTATATAACTTTAGTTAGGCCACATTTACAGCATTGTGTGCAGTTTTGGTTGCCACAGTAACAGAAAGATTTGGAGGTTTTGGAGAAGGTACAAGAAGAGAATTAACAGGATGATATACTACTATGTCCCAGCCCCCACCACACACACAGGCCTTGTGATCGCATTGTCTGCTATTACACACAACGCATTGTTAGCCACTAACAGTCTCCATTAACTGCTACTTATCCTCATAGCCAGATCATTATCCACTCCTTTGTCTGTCCAACTGTTCTTTTGTCTCTTTGGGCTCTATCGCCACCTATTGTTTACTCTTTACCCTCTCCCCAACCCTACCTTGTGCATTAAAAAATAGAGTTCTGAGGAAAGTTCACCAGACCCAAAACATGAACTCTGATTTCTCTTCACAGATGCTGCCGGACCTGCTGAGTTTTTTTTTTCCCCAGCAATTTCCGTTTTTGTTCCTGATTTACAGCATCCGCAGTTCTTTCAGTTTTTGTTTTAACTCGAATGTTGCCTGAATTAGAGTGTTAGTTTTAAGGAGAAATTGGACAAACATCGACTGTTTTCATTAGAACATCAGAGGCTGGGAAGCGACTTAATAGAAGTATACAAGATTATGAGAGACATAGATACGGTGGTTAGTCAGATTCTTTGTCCCAGGGCAGAAATGTCAAATTCCAGGGGCATAGGTTTAAAGTGACAGGCGGAAGATTACAGGAGATATGCAATGGAAGTGTTTTTTACAGAGGGTAGTAGGCACCTGGAACATGCTGTCAAAGGAGGTGATAGATATGTTTCAGAGGCATTTAGACACAAGAACAGGCAGAGAGTTGAAGGATACAGACTATGTGCAGGCAGATGGGATTAGTTTAAAATGGCATTACGATTGGTACAGGCATGGTGGGCCGAAGGGCCTGTTTCTGTGCTGTACTGTTCTATGGTGCCTTGGATTGTTTAAATGGGTTTGTTAAAGGGAACCGATAAAACAGTTGCCGAGAATAGCTACTGTCAGGACTAGTGTGACTGAAGGAAGTCAGAGTCTGTTGAAGTGTTCCTTGCAGATGATGCTGTATCTGGAAAATATGAGTCAGAGTGCAGTAGTTAATGAGGGTCCATGGAAAATTTGACCAGAGGGAAAGTTGGGACTTCAAGAGTGTTCATGATGTGCCAGTAGTACTTTTGGCAATGGTTTAAAGTGAAATTTATCATCTTAGTTGCAAGATTATTTGTCATTTAATTAGTATCGAATTCTATTGATTTTAACTTGGTTGTTACAGTATGCATTTTTACAAGTGAAATATTGTCCTTTGATTATTTCCATTGTGGCCATTTGGTGATTCCTTTCTTTGGCAAGTTATTGGGGTCTGTGAGGGATCGTAACATATTGTAGGGGTGGCTCAGTGGTTAGCACTGCTGCCTCATAGTGCCAGGGCCCCCCCAGGTTTGATTCCTTCCTCGGGCGACTGTCTGTGTGGAGTTTGCACATTCTCCCTGCGTCTGCATAGGTTTCCACTGGGTGCGCTGGTTTCCTCCCACAGTCTTAAGATGTACAGGTTAGGTGGAATGACCATGCTCAATTTCCCCATAGTGTCCACGAATGTGCACGCTACATGGGTCAGCCATGGGAAATGCAGGGTTACAGGAATAGGGCAGGGGGATGGGTCGGGGTGAGATGATCTATGGAGGGTTGGTGTGGACTCAGTGGGCCAAATGGCCTGCTTCCACACGGTAGGGATTCTATTTTGATTCTAAAAGAATCTTAATGCCTTCACTGGCATCAGCCTTGAGCGTGGAAGCTAACTGGCTGCAATAATTTAAGCAAAGTGAATACTGACCACTGCCAGCTAAGGGATTGGAAGTAGGATGGGAAGTAAGTTTTCATTCATTCCTGGCAGTTAGGCATGCTGGCTAGGCCAGCACCTAATGCTCATCCCCAATTGCTCAGCGGCCAGTGATGAGCCAAGCGCATGGCTGTGGAGCCCCACATGGCCAGACCATGGCAAGGGTGCCAGATTTCCTTCCCTAAAGAACATCAGCGCTCCAAGAGGGTTTTTACAGCAATCAATAGCTAATTCCAGATTTTTACTGAATTAAAATTCCACTTTCTGCTGCCCCCAGAACATCAGCCCGGGGTTCTGGATTACTAATTCGGTAACATTACCACCACAGCATCGCTCCCCCTTAAACCCAAAACAGACAGATGGGGTCTTGGTGTGACGCTTCATTCCAATTTTTGTACTCAAGCCCAGGAGCAGGATTCAAACTTATAACCTGGCGACTCAGAGACAAAAGTGCTACCAACTGATCTTGGCTGATTTTTTTCCAAAAAGTAGAGCAGCGCTCCCATGCTCCTGGCTGAAACAACTGTGAAAAGTATTGTCCGCTCCACACAAATACCAGGCTATAACCATCACCAATAGGAAATAATCTAACTACCACCACTTGACATTCAATGAGCATTCTGAACACTCTGGGGGTTACCATTGACCAGAAACTCAACTGGACTCACCACATAGACACAGTGGCTACAACAGGTCAGAGGCTAGGAATACTGTGGCAAGAAACTCACCTCCTGACTCCCCAAAGCCTGTCCACCATCTACAAGGCACAAGTCAGGAGTGTGTTGGAATACACCCAACTTGCCTGGATGAGTGCAGCCCCAACAACACACAAGTTTGACACCATCCAGGACAAAGCAGCCCGCTTGATTGGCACGACATCCACTCCCTCCACCTCTGATGCTCAGTAGCAGCAGTGTGTACTATCTACACAATGCACTGCAGAAATTCACCAAAGATCCTCAGACAACACCTCCCAAACCCACGACCACTTCCATCTAGAAGGACAAGGGCAGCAGCACCTTCAAGTTCTCCTCCAAGCCACTCACTATCCTGACTTGGAAATAAATCATCGTTCCTTCACTGTGTCTGGGTCAAAATCCTGGAATTCCCACCTTAATGGCATTGTGCGTCAACCCACAGCAGGTGGACTGCAGCGGTTCAAGAAGGCAGCTCACCCTCACTTTCAAGGGCAACTAGGGATGGGCATGAAATGCTGGCCAGCTACTGATGTCCATGTCCCAGAAATGAATAAATTAAAAATAAAACAAAGTCCCCCCACCACTCCCCCAACAAAATATACCAGGATTGTGTCTCCAGAGTAACGCAGGGAGTGAAGGTTAGTCACAGAACACAGATTATATGCAATCCTAACACTGGATCCTGAAATTCACTGGAATATTCAGCTTGTGGAGCGAGTGCATACACGTATTTGTTGAAGCTATATCAGCAGGCAATCAATCAAATTACTTTTCATGACTACGGCTTTGTCTTTGTTGAGACAAGAGAACAGGACAGTATTGCCTCGGTCTTTCTCCAATGATCATTCTTAAACGAAAGCTCTTCTATGTTACATTACGCTGCACACTGTGAACAATGCTGTATTTTTAGATTAGATGATCGCTGGGGAACAGCACAGGCAGGGCTGTCCTGTTCCCTTTACTCATTGAAAACAGAGCTCTCATTAGGAGAAGCTGTTGGATTCATTGCACGTAGGCACTGCTTTCAGAAGCAGTTCTCAAATGGTGCCAGCGCGCTGTCAGGATTGTAGGGTCAAGTGACTGCATAACAGATGGAACTGCAAAAAGAGAATGCCACGCATGCACTCATCTGATTCTGGTTGTCACACCATCTCTGATGGTTTTTATACCTCAAAAATGCACAACCAACTGCACAGAGCAGATAGAATGCCTCCCTCCAGCTGTACTATCAGGGCCCGTTGGCTTTTATGGAAAGGTCACAAAGCCAAGGAACTTAATTTCTTGACTTGCCAGAAACAACTGCGCTGACCAGTTCAAACTAAGATAGCCGAGGACACATATGACATGAAGTATGCTTCTGATCTTTTCTAGCTCACGAACAATTCAGTCCATGATAAACTGCAGAAAGGGCAGACCAGAAACAGTACTAGGTGAACTTAACAAGGGTATTAACCCGGTGGGGATAATTACCTGGATGAGTACAGCTCCAACAACACTTGAAAGGCTCAGCACCACCCCGGACAAAACAACCAATCTCACTAGTACTCAACACACCATCTTCAACACTCAGTCCTTTCACCCCCAATGCACAGTAGCTGACTCCTGTACTACATAGAAAGATGTGCTGCAACAAAATAAACTAGGAATTCTTCGATAACACCTTCCAAACCCACAACCTCTACCAAATCAGGACAATGACAGCAGACGCATAAAAAACCAGCAACCGTTTTAAAACTGGTAGGGTATAGGTTACAGAGTTATAAACTAGCAATTCATTTAATCTTTCTTGCCATTGGTTAAAAGCTGCTTGATTGACAAGAAAAAAAATTGTTAAAAATGTTAAAAAAGCTACCAACTGAATTAGATAGTCAGGCAGCCTTACACAATTCAGTGGTTTAATCAAATGTTCACATTTGTAACAACCGCATGAAGAATGAGACTTGATTTCCAGGGTATTACCCCAGTGAGTGGCAGGTATCGGTGTACACAAAAATATTTTGAATGTACCAGATCTGCCCTGAGTTGCACATGATTACAAATTGCTAGAAATTTCCACTGCTCCACTTTGCAAAAGGACAAAGTAATCTAACAAGGATTTGTTGCATTTGAGCTGCAAATATGAATTAAACCCATTCCAAAAAGTTAGGGGCATTACTTCACAGTGTAAGGGCCCTGTGCGCAAAGTGGTTTATGGTCCTGACATGTCTCTTAACATTAGCTGTTCAGACAGGGGTGAATTAAAACATGGAGATTCATTTCTGCAGGTGGATAAACTTTTCCTAAAATACACTTTTTCCTTTGTTTACCTTTTATTATTTTCCTTCTCTCCAAATACTACCTTTATCCCCCACTTGTTATTGGTTCTCCTGGACCTGACGTTAATCTAATTGATTTAATTTCCTTCTCTATCATTCCTGCTTCTTTTACTACCCTTAAATCTGTGATTAATCAGAGCGATTGTTCATTCTGCTATTCACCATTGGTCTCACTGCACTGTTATGAGATGACACTTTCAGCAATTTGCAGCATTATATAATTAGTACTGAATCTCTACAGTGTGGAAGCAGGCTATTCAGCCCATCCAGTCCATGCTGACCCTCTGAAGTGTTCCTCCCACAGTACAAAGATGTGCAGGTTAGGTGGATTGGCTGTGCTAAATTGCCCATAATGTTCAGGGATATGCAGGCTAGGTGGGTTAGCCATGGGAAAAATGTAAGGTTATGGTTATAGGGTGGAGGTGTGGGTCTGGATGGGATGCTGTTTGGAGGGTCAGTGTGTGGACTCAATGGGCCAAATGGCCTGTTTCCACGCTGTAGGGATTCTATGATTCTACAAACTGCACTTTGACTGCTCCCCCTACCCCGGATCCCCGATCCCAGAGTGTGACTTCCTTCCAAAGTCTAGCTAACTCAGCCTTCAATATATTCACTGTTGTAGTCCCAACCAACATTGGGGAAAATAATTCCATAGGCTAATAGCACTCAGAGAAATGTTTATCTACATCTCTGTCTTACATGGGAGCCCCTTAATTTTTAAACTGCATTTGTTAATTCTCAGTGCCTTCACAAGGGGAAATGTCCTCTCTCAACAATCATTATGTCAAGTCTTTAGGATTCAATTAAATCATTTCACATTCTTCTAAACTCCAAATGGATACAGTCCTAACCTGCCCAATCTTTGTTCAGAAGAAAACTCCTTCATCCCAGGAATCAGTGGAGAGAACCTTCTCCGAACTGCTTCCAGTGCAATGATATCCTTTCTTAAGGGACGGACATAGTCCTGCAATGATAGCAGTCTGAGCCAATTTGTTTCAAGTGGTTCCCCCTCTTCTTATAGAGTCATACAGTATGGAAACAGACCCTTTGATCCAACCAATCCATGCTGAACATAATCCCAAACTAAACTAGTCCCACCTGCCTGCTCCTGGCCTATATCCCTCCAAACATTTCCTATTCATGTATCTATCCAAATGTCTTTTAAATGTTGTAACTGTACACACATTCATCACTTTCTTGGCCAATACTCACTCGTCTCTGGTGTAGCAGGGGTACGGAAACATCTGGACATAATTCCCAGGCTCCACCACATCATGTCCCACAAACGTATTGATAATGGCCCGTTCCATCATATCTAGAGAGGAGGTAGACAAAGAATCACAGTACATTAAATCGGAAGGAAGACTCCAAATAACTACTGAGAATTAGCTCCCACCCGCATGAAAACATCAAAGTGTCTGCAGATCTGAATCTTCTAAGGATGGTGATCACCCCTCGGTTGTCACTCTTCCTCCTCCTTTCATTCTGGTGATGGTGCTCTGCATTTCTCCAGTCCTTCTAAGAAACACTGAGTGTATCTTCTTTTGGAATCCTTTCTCCTATAGCATTGCTGTTGGGCAGGTCTCAGCCTTGCCCGCTTTGCACTACAGTCGCTGCGAATTTCTGGTAAATTTGCAGACCCACTGATATGCATGTGTGACATTTAAATATAGTTTTCAGCATGTTACTGAATGAGTGTGGGTGAGGTAACTGGGGAAGCTGGGTACAGTGACATGGTAGCTGGTGAGTTGGGTTGTGGGTTGGAGTGGGGTGGAGGGAAATGGTTAAGAAGAGTCACGAGGTCTGGAAAGCCAGTGATATTGAGGGCAGGGGTAGTCAGGAAGGTGGAGGTGACACAGGATCAGGATGGGTAGTTGTGGAGGAGGGAGAGAGAGGAGGTCCATTTTGGAGGTCATTGCAAAGTGGAACAGTCCTTCTAAAAATTTTTCAGGTGTGTTGGCATTAATATAGTTACCCAGACTTTAGAAGTGGTTAGAATTCCCTCACATTTCCTTGGTTATGACCCAAGTATGTAAGTCAGTGCTGCCCAAAATCTCAGCTGGAGATGTTCTGGAGAGTTCCAGATGCTGTTTAATTTTGCCCACTGGAATATTAACATCCAGAGCAAGCCCCACATAGTCAATGCATCATGACTTCTGAAAAGTTCTGACAAGCATCTTTTGGGATTTATCAGGGCTCTGACTCTGCAGAAATGGAATTTCTGGGCCAGAGAATTCGGAATGTCAGCATCGCTGGGAGGACCAGTTTAGACTGTAACAGCATTCCCAAATGATGGCAATCGGAAAGGAATTGAGCTTAATTTTCAAACAAATTAGCAATTTCAAATTAAGCAGTTGACCCCGGAAACATTAACTTTGCCACTCCCTAAAGATACTGCTTGAATTGCTGATTATTTCTGGGATCTTCTTTCTAATTTACGCCAAGTCCTGATCTCCAGACGCACCACAATCTCTCAATGGGTAAATCCATCATTTTCCTTTTGAAATATTTACCGAGAGAGATAAGGGCAACAGGGACTGTTTATGGTCTTAGCTAGCGAAGGCTCTCAGAGAGAGGGCTGCGAAACTAGTCACAGGGCATAGGGAAGAGCAAGGGGATGGATGATGAAGCAAAAGTCAGCCACTGTTTTAACAACTGTTGAAAGACACAATTTTGTGGACCTTACACAAGGACCAGAATGGACCCTTACTCATGTTAACATATGCTTTTCTGAGATTTTGGCGCTCCTTTCTCATAGGTTCAAATCTAACAGCATCATCAAACCCGACAAATAGGGCAGTGCTGTTTGTCCAGTGTACTGACCTCTATGCAGCAAAGGCCCAATGCTAACTTCCCAACACTTCCTCCCATCTCCACGTGGGCTGTGACCCCATTGCCAAGCATCAAGCCATTGTATCCAAGGATGTCACTGACCTCAGCTAATCTGGAGAGCTTCTCTTCACCACCATCAACCTCGAACAGCCTGCTCCTACCTCCTTCTCCAAGATCCATCAACAAGACTAGCCTCGTCGATCTGTTATTTCAGCCTGTTCTTGACCCACTGAACTTATACCTTCCTGTCAAAACTCAATTTTTTTTCTACCTTTTCCTAGCATCTCCCTTCCTCTATCTGTGAATTTTCTAATACTTTGCAGCACCTCAACAGCCTCTTGGCTCGAACTGCCTCTGCTTCATCATGGATTCTAATTCCTCCATACCTTTCCTGTGCAGCAGGACAGTCTGATAGCTCTTCACTTTTTCCTCGATTCAGAGAACTGACCAGTCCTCCATCAACCACCACCCTCCCCTGCCTGGTTGATTTTTCCAATGTTGAACAACCTCACCTTCAAATCTATTAATTTCCTCCACATAAAAGGTGTTTCCATGGGTGCCAGCTGTGCCTGCTTCTTTGTGAGCTATCCGAAACATTCCTTCAACCGGTCCAACTCAACAGCTCTTCCTTGCTTCCGTTTCTGCAGCAGTTATGACCTTTTGGGCAACATAGTGGCTCAGTAATTAGCACTGCTGCCTCAGGTGGCTGTCTACATGGAGTTTGCACGTTCTCTCCGTGTCTGTGTGAGTTTCCGCTGGATGCTGTGGTTTCCTCCCACAGTCCAAAGATGTGCAGGTTAAGCGGATTGACCATGTTAAATTGCCCATAGTGTCCAGGGATGTGTGGGCTAGGTGGGTTAGCCATGGGAAATGTGGAGTTGTGGGTATAGGGTAGGGGGCTGGGTCTGTGTGGCATGCTCTTCAGAGGGTCGGTGTAGATTCAACAGGCCAAATAGAATCTCTACAGTGTGGAGAGAGGCTATGAAAATGATGCCAGTCCCTGCTCGAGCCATGAATTTGAACATTTCATTGACTTTGTTTCCTATTTCCTCTGCTTTTCTCATCTTCACCTGATCTATCCCTGACACTTCCGTTCCTTTCTTCTATTTCTTTGGCTATCACCAGAAGTTCATTACGAGCCTATGGACTTCCACAACACCCTTGATGACACTACCTCATTGTCTTTCGTCCTGTCGGCACTCAATTGCATTTTCCCAGTTTCTCGATTATAACTGCTCAGATGATGCATCCTTTCAAACGAGCATTTCCAATACAGCTTCTCCCTCAATGTGCTTGATAGGGCCTTCCACCAATTTCAGACTTTCAGCGCCAATTCTGTTGTTCGATGCTCAGGATCGTACATGAACAATGGCTACGTGAGACACTGGAGATCGCTGGGGCTTACAATATGGTAACATCTGGGGGTAGGTCACTGGTGACTAACCTTAACCCTATCACCCACTGCATCAGTGCATTCATTAGCCGTAGTCCAGACTGATAAGTGTCAAGATATGGTCAGACTGAAATGAAGACAGATGAAACATGAAAGTTATTAAACATAGAGCTGTTGAAGGTCAATGAAGCGCCAGGTAATGACCCACCTTGTATCCAGACGAATCCATACAGGAAGTAGAATCTCCCTCCAGTGTTAGGCCCTGGTCTCCAGTAGGCCCTTCGAATTTCATTGGTTTTCTCGGTAAAGCTGGAGTTCTGACGGATCTTCAGCATGACATGAGGGGGCAGTGTGCCATCCTCCTTAGTCTGAAATATCACACCTTGGGGATAAAATTAATATAGGTGCTCAGAAAATTTCAAATATTCGTATTTCAAAATCAAAACAAAATAATTGTCATTTTTGCAGAAAGAAACTGCAATGGATCCATAGAGGGGAGATTATGTATATATTTTTTAAAGGTCAGTAAAACTACATGCAATTTTCTGGATGGTCTATTTATTGACTTCTCCCTGGCTGTGATTTTAAAAATGATGTCCTGAAGTTAATCACTGCTCAATGCTGCATCCCATTGCGTTTATGGCAATTGATTTAACAACCCATGCCTGATGAGAAGGAGACCTTGGTTCTCACTTCAATTGTTCTGAAATGTAAACTGTGGTTCTCGTGCACAATTGTTTAGTAATATTATTATTTGGCACCAATTTCTTCATCATTTGACTAAATGTTTCTTCAGAGTTGGTGGATGCTAGCAGCTGCACTAAAATCAGAAAAACATATAAACGAAAAGGAACCTTATTCACGAGACACTGTTCCAGGCTGTTTGACAATTTCTTGACATATACAACCTGTGGAGAGAAATTATCGAGGTAATGCCATCCTCTACCTCGAGTTTACTTTGACTAGATGGTTTGAGAATCATGGAGAATTCCTATTTTGCAATTCAGCAAAATACATAAAAATGGACTGTAATACATGCTGTACATACATAAAAAGGAAAATGTTTGGCTAAGCTGAACATGGGTCCATTACAAACAGAATTTATAATGGGGAACAGAGAAATGGTAGAGAAGCTAAGAGAAGCTAGAGAAGATACAAAAAAGTCTCTCAGATTTAGAGGTACAAGCGGTGTGAGAAAATGAAGAGTTGGAGGAGGCTGCAGTGGAGAAATTAATGGGGCTGAAAGTTGACAAGTCCCTGGGATCTGATTGTCTACATTCCTGTTATGGCTTAGCATTCAAGAAAGACTTGAACTTTTAACTCTATCTCTTTACTTTTCTAGTTTATATTAAGGAGGACTTTAATATTACCTTATTTCTTTATTTTTCTACTTGTACTATGATGATCTGTAATGCTTAACTATTTAACTTAGTTTCTCCATTTTACTACTTTGTACGTAAATATTTTCTAACAAGGTACCTTATACCTAAGATGGTGCCGTGTTTGGCTGCATTGTACAGTTTTCACTGTAGTCCTGTACTTCTGGACTTGAGTATATGTGACAGTAAAATCTAAATCTAAATCAAAAAGTGTCGAGGAGGTGGATATAGAGATACCTGATTCATATGCAATCATCTTCCATAATACTATAGATTCCGAATAATTTCTGCAGATTTGAAGTTTGCACTACTTGAAGGAGCACAGGAAAGAACTGGGAGCGACAGACCATTTAGCCTTATATCAGTGGTTATCTTATATCAGATAGATTCTAGAATCTATCATAAGGGATGTGACAAATAGATACTCAGATAAAAATGATCTGAGCGGGTGCAGTCAGCATTGATTTGTGAATGGAAAATCATGTTTGACAAACTGGTTGGAGTTTTTTTTTTGAGGGTGTTACCAACAAAATTGATAAATGGATACAGCATGTTTGGATTTTTAAAAGGTTTCTGATAAGGTTCCCCACGAGAGGCTGTTTAGCAAAATTAAAGTGCATGGTATATTGGGGAATGTATTTTCATGTATTAAGGATAGACTAACAGACAGAATAGAAGACAGCAGGAATAAATGGGTCACTCTCACGTTGGCAGGCTGTGACTAGGGTGGGGCTACTGCAAGGATCAGTACTCGGGCTCTAGCTGTTCACAAAGATTTGGAGCTGGGGACCAAACGTAACATTTCCAAATTTGGCAGATGATACAAAGCTGAGCAGGAATGTGTGTTATGAGGAAGATGCTTTCAGGAGGACTTGGACAGGCTTAGTGAATGGGCAAGAACGTAGCAGATGGAATATCGTGTAGAAAAATGTGAGGTTATTCACTTGGCTGGAAGAACAAATGTGCAGAGCGAGAGGTTTGAAAGAGTAGATGTGCAAAGGGACCTAGGGGTCTTTTTTGATAAGTCACTGAAGGCTAACATGCAGGTGGAGCTAGCTACGAGGAAGGTTAGCCTTTTGTTGCAAGAGGATTTGAGTACAGCGGTAGTGACTGTACTGGAACTTGGTAAGACCACACTTAGAGTACTGTGTGCAGTTTTGGTCTCCTTATCTCAGGAAGAATATTATTACCTCAAATTGAAGATTCAACAGATCAGTTCCTGGGATGGCAGGACTGTCCTAGGAAGAGTGATTGGAGAGTTTTGAAGAATGAGAAGTGATCTCAATGAAACCCACAAAATATTTAAAGGGATTAACAGGGTAGATGCAGATAAAATGTTTCCCCTGGTTCAGGAGTCCAGAGTCTGGGGCACAATTTAAAACTAAGGGGGTGCCATTCAGGACCGAGATGAGCAGAAACCTTTTCCCTCAGAGACTTACGGATTTAAAGTTTTAGCAAAGATCTGTAGCTCGGGTTGTGGGTGAGGTTGCTGACTTGCTCGCCGAGCTGGCTTGTTTTCGCCCAGACATTTCATCACCATGCTAGGTGACATCATCAGTGGAGCCTCCAATGAAGCAATGTTATA